TTCAGTCAAAGGTTCTTTAAAGAACCATCTCTTTCTTACCTTTTTGTAATCTGAAGAACCTTTTTTCACCACAAAGAACCTTTTGTGAAACAGAAAGGTTCTTCAGATGTTAAAGGTTCTTTATGGAACCATTTAGACAAAAAGGTTCTTCTATGGCATCGTGAAGCACCTTTATTTTTTAAGAGTGAACTTAAAAAGTAAGTGTTCATGCTTCCTTAAAATTTTAAGTTTACTCAACTCAAATATCCAAGTTGTCACATAGTACAATTTAACATTTCAAGTTGACTAAACTTAAAATTTTAAGGCAGCACAAACACTTTTATTTATTTTTTACAGTGCTGCATTTATTTGATTAAAAATACAGTAAAAAGAGTAGTCATTTATTCCTGTGATGCAAAGCTGAATTTTCAGCAGCCATTACTCCAGTCTACAGTGTCACATGATCCTTCCAGAAATCATTCTGATATGCTGAATAAGAAAAATATTTTATTATTATCAGTGTTGAAGCTCATACACTAAAAAAATAGAAATAGAAAGTCACAGTCAGTGACCTTTAAACATAATGTATAACTGCATAAACGTACACATGATATCTGACCCCTGAGCTATCTTGTGCTTACAGAATGTATTATTATATTAGGCATTTAGCAAATGATTGTTCTAGAAAAAAAAAACTGATCAAAATTAAACTTTTGTTCCTTATTTGCTGAAAGATAACAGAATGTTTTAACTGCAGAATGCTGTATTGTTCTCTTCTGATCACTCCCCCATGTTGACTCTTGCAGGCGTTTGGTGAGAGCATTTGCCATTGTCTGCAGAAATACTGCCTGAATTACAGTACAGCCATTCTTTATCTGGACAGCCTGAAACTCAGAGAGGACTTTGGCTCTTTCGTGAAGGTAAACGTGGAAAGCGTGATTTGACACGGTAAATCAGGGCTTGGTCTCAATGCACTGATCTTGGCAATAGGGCAAACATTACCACGCGAGGTTCATGCCACTGCTGGGTGGTAGTTTTTCTCGCAGGAACATGGTGACCAGCTCGCTGGTGAAAAAGTGTTGACTCTGCTACTTTCCCATTCTTACATCACCAGCTCTCGCAGAGTATTGTTCCCTGTTGTATTCTTAAGCTGTCTCCACATAAATTTTGCCCTGTCACTTCTAGATTTTGCCCTCAGTTGCACAAAAGAGATCTTGTTTGTCAGTTGACTTTTTATTCAGAACAATCTCATTAAACACTTAACATTACATATCTCGTCATACACTAAAAAAATAGAAATAGAAAGTCACAGTCAGTGACCTTTAAACATAATGTATAACTGCATAAACGTATACATGATATCTGACCCCTGAGCTATCTTGTGCTTACAGAATGTATTATTATATTAGGCATTTAGCAAATGATTGTTCTAGAAAAAAAAACTGATCAAAATTAAACTTTTGTTCCTTATTTGCTGAAAGATAACAGAATGTTTTAACTGCAGAATGCTCTATTGTTCTCTTCTGATCACTCCCCCATGTTGACTCTTGCAGGCGTTTGGTGAGAGCATTTGCCATTGTCTGCAGAAATACTGCCTGAATTACAGTACAGCCATTCTTTATCTGGACAGCCTGAAACTCAGAGAGGACTTTGGCTCTTTCGTGAAGGTAAACGTGGAAAGCGTGATTTGACACGGTAAATCAGGGCTTGGTCTCAATGCACTGATCTTGGCAATAGGGCAAACATTACCACGCGAGGTTCATGCCACTGCTGGGTGGTAGTTTTTCTCGCAGGAACATGGTGACCAGCTCGCTGGTGAAAAAGTGTTGACTCTGCTACTTTCCCATTCTTACATCACCAGCTCTCGCCGAGTATTGTTCCCTGTTGTATTCTTAAGCTGTCTCCACATAAATTTTGCCCTGTCACTTCTAGATTTTGCCCTCAGTTGCACAAAAGGGATCTTGTTTGTCAGTTGACTTTTTATTCAGAACAATCTCATTAAACACTTAACATTACATATCTCTTCCCATCCTTCACTCTTTCTCTCATCCAGTGGTGTGAACGAAACGAGCAGTGCCGCAGGCTGCAGTTGAAGGATCTGCTGGTGGCTCCTCTGCAGAGATTTACACGGTACCCTCTGCTGTTGAAGAACATAGGGAAGAAGAGTTGCTCGGAGGCCGAGGAGAACACCATACAGAGCATCGTGGGTCTCGTTGACACAGCCATCTGTAAGTTGGTGGCATTATTGTGACAGATGAAAGTACAGGTACACTGACATAAATATTCTAGCCAATACTGATAAGCAGAAAATTCATTTCCTGTTATCATAGCTGATAATTTTGGAAGCTTGTTTCCACAACAGGATAAAAATAATAAAAAATGGACCTTTTATCCCACGATTATTTTTTCCTCGCAATTCTGAATTGTGAGATAATTTCCTTTTTATTCTGTGGTGGAATAAAAAAAAAACAGATAAAAAGGCCAAATTGCGAGATTGTAATTGTTCTATTCTCAGAAAAAAGTCAGAATTGTGAGATATAAACTTGCAGTTGTGAGGGAAAAAAGTCAGACTTGTGAGATAAAATTACATAATTTTTTATTTTGAGGCAGAAACAAGCTTCCATAGATAACTGATAAATGGGCGGTATTAAAATGATATGCTGTTTCTAAATAAATGTAAAAAATAAGTCCGTAAAAATCTGTCTTTTTAAATGCTACAAGTGAATTTAGACATTAAAACATTACATGTACAGTATGAAAATGGGTATTCATTTTGAGATAACATTTAACAGTGTTGTTAAATGATTAGTGCTTTTAAAGAGCAACTTTTATTGAGCGTTATATGATGGCAAAGGTACACTAATTGTAAAACATCATGGGTTAATAAACATCCAATATTGGCCAATTGGCTCCGTATTGAGATGAAAAAAATGATTTTAAATAATATCTCTAGTATCAGCTTTAAGTATATATTTTTTTGCGATAGTTGGGGAAATTGGTTTTCACTTTCTACAGTTACTGTGACTGATAAGCTTTGTTTCTCAGATGAGGACACTTTGATCTCGCTTGGGTAAAACACTCATGTCAAACCAGGTAACAGGTGACTTTTCCTGTTCTCTGTCTGCCTTCATAGGGAAGCTGTTTGTGAGGCGTGTAGTGACAGCCACTGTGAGAAAAATATGCAGTGACTCTGTGAAAGACAGCTATTTTTGCCTCAGAGATGTGAGCCAAAACAGCTAAAAAGGACACCATGTTTTAGTAAGCCATGAAAACGTGACATTTGAATTGACATGTCGTGTAAAAGCCCAGTTATCTTTTTATGAAGCATTTCACAACTTGTCATAAATCCATTATGTGTTTATCAAGTACCCTGTTTTGGATAAGGAAGTGAGATTACTACATTATGTTGTTTCATCCAATCCCATTAGCCCTTTCATCTGTGCTAAACATTTGTATATACATTAATTAAAAGTTGTTGTTTATAAGTTGTTATAAAATATATTTATTAAATTATACTTATTTTTTTATAAAATAGTTTTATTGATGGTAATGACTGTGTATGTATATGTACAGTATATATGTGCTAAAATATATCACATTTTCTCATTTATAATATTTTATACAAATTGTATGGTTTTTATAAAATAGTTTAATTGTATCATTTTAACAAGAATTTCAAAGAAAATGCTCAATGATGGTAATGACTGTGTATGTTATGGTAGTGATCAGTTTTGGGGGTAACGCATTACAAGTAACGCGAGTTACGTAATCAGATTACTTTTTCAAGTAACTAGTAAAGTAACGCATTACTTTTTAATTTACAACAGAATATAAGAGTTACTTTTTCAAATAAGTAACACAAGTTCCTTTTTTTTCCAATTTATTGATTGACAGCTCTCCTGTCCCCATGTTGAGAGAAATCAGATGTTACTGTAGTTCTAAAATAAATATGAATATGCATTAATTCATCTCACCCACTAAAAAAAAAAAAAAACACACAGATTCAGTATTCCTCAAAATGAATAAAAATAATGCAACTCAGAATATGACGCGAACCTGCAATAATTAAATGTTAAACAATACAAATATCCTTTATGTATTTAATCCCATTCTATTAACCGATGTCTTTGCTTCTGACCTTCGATGATCCAGTTCAACCGTACTAATAAGCAAAAATTACTCTAGACAACATTTGTGTGTCTTTGTTTATTGCTGAAGTGTGTTGAAATGTCTTCTTCTGCATTCTACTGTACGGACGTACATTTACTTTCCCTTCAGCCTGAGGCTTATTCATTTCACTTCTGGTGTGAAAAGGCTTTTATATTTGCCAAAAATATAAATTTTTTATTTTAAAAACAAACAAGTTTTATGTTTTTAAGTTTAAAACAAGCAAGCCCTGTCCAGATTTTAAAGTAACGCAAAAGTAACATAACGCATTACTTTCCATAAAAAGTAACTAAGTAATGTAATTAGTTACTTTTTTTATGGAGTAACGCAATATTGTAATGCATTAGTTTTAAAAGTAACTTTCCCCAACACTGGTAGTGATACAAGAATTTGCTGATGACACAAACAACAAAATATGGTCCAATTTTTAGTAATATTAACATTTTTATCTTATTTTACAACAAATATACCCTCAACTGACTGATGGTAATGACATTTTTGCTAGCTGGCATTAATTTATATTTTAACAAAAAAAAATACAGTGAAATTGGCTGTCATGAATTCAGTAATATTCTCTATAATGCTTGAGGTGATGGTAATGATCGCACTTGCCGTCCTGCCTTGACTTGTTGACCTGCTCCCGGGCTGAGATATGGCTAGACGGACTTGAAATGTTTAATCGGTTAATCTTCTATACAAAAGCAGTTTTTTTTTAATTCAAAACATTCCAGAATGACAGCAGCTCATTTCAACACACTTTATGACAGTTCCCATAGCCAATATAAGGGTGTGTGTACAACTCTTCTTGGTGCGATTAAAACATGTCAGCGTATGAAGGGTGTGGGGTTCAAACAACATGACTGTGTCATTGTTGATGAAAGAGCCTGTACTTGGAACGCAGTAGGAAGAATCTAGAATTAAAATACAGTCGATTGTCTCCAACTGAACAACCAGAAACAGGATCTGTGGTTTTACAAAAGCAGTAATGTTTGTTTGGGGGAGGTGTGGATGATCACACTAACCTTTCGTAGCCAACCGCCTTTGTGTAGGCTGATGATACAATAGAGCTCCCACCCAAACCTCTCTCTCTTTCTCTGTGCATCTGTACAGATGATCTTGAAGGAAAAGTGAAGTGGTTGGACAACTACCAGAAGGTGAAACAGCTGAAGGAAGCTCTGGTGTGGCTTCCTGTGTGGGAGCAAGACAAGAGGGCGCATGTTCCTGAGGTCTATGTCAAAATCTGTATCTTCAAGCACATTATACTTAATAACGTGTTCATTTTTAGTTTGATTTGAAATGTATTTATTGAGATTTCAAAGCTGTGCGTGATTAATCCTTCACAGAATCTGAAGCACTTGCTAAAAGCTGTAAGTCTGGAGAACCTGGTGTCTCACCGTAGTCTTCTGCATGATGGGAAGCTCGTTCTCATAGGTTAGATGGAGAAAATGCTTTTTCTGTTTATAAGAGGTTGTGTTGTGTATATTTACATAATCTTCTTTTGCACACAGAAAATGCCAAGATGCATGAGGTCTACCTGTTTCTCTTTGACGAATTCCTTCTAATCACGAAGATCAAGCGAAGCAAAAAGGTGCAGTTATTGATTCGTTTTAAGTACGTATATAAAGATTCAAGGAAAGTGACTACTGTTTGGTGTTATTACTGTTAATGCTTAGCAGCCCTGTCTCTGTTGACATAAATCAAAGCATGGGCGACAGTGATGTGAAAATGGATTTGTTGATTCTGTCTGGGAGTGATTATTGATTCAAGCCATTACTCCCTTTTACACGCTAAGGTTGAATAGAGATCAGTGGATTGTGTCAGATGATAGTACTGTACTGACTACTGTAAATGGAGATTAAAAGTTAAATATATTTATATGAATATGCTGATGCATATATGAAGATGCTGTTACATTTACAATGAAAGATAGTTTTGCTAGATAATAATGCTGAAATGCTGAAAATTCAACATGAAATAAAAGATCTCATTTACTTTTTTAAATACATTACCATTCCTAAAGTTTGGGGTCAGTAAGATTTAAAAAAATTTTTTATCAAACATTAATACTTTCATTCAGCAAGGATGCATGAAATTGTTAAAAAAATGACAGTAACAACGTTTACATTATTACAAAATATTTTATTTAAAATAAATGCAGTTCTTTGAACTTTCTGTTAAGCAAAGTATCCTTAAAAAACGCCATGGTCTCCACAAAAATGTTAAGCAGTACAATTTACAACATTGATAATAATAATAAATGTTTCTTGAGCATCAATCAGCATATTAGCATGATTCTGAAAGGATCATGTGATGCTGAAGACTGGAGTAATGACTGCTGAAAATTCAGCCTTGCCAGCACAGGAATAAATTACATTATAAAATATAATGGAAAACAGTTGTTTTAAATTGTAATGATATTTCACCATATTGCTGTTTTACTGTATTTTTGATTGCAACCTTGGTGAATATAAGAGACTTCTTTTAAAACTTTTGAAAATGTAAGAAATGTCTTGTAATGAATTTATATATATATATATATA